GCCTTGGGCTCCCAAAGTGTTGGGATTACAGGCGTGAACCACCACGCTTGGCGTTAATGTTTTCTTAAGAAGAAAGCAAAATGGCTATTCTGCTCTTGACTGTTGGATTTCTGGAATCTCTCCTGAGGAATTACCCTCATGAACCGTGCCTAAAATTTTGGCCTTGACAAGGCTTAGCAAATGCAAATGTTACATTTTAAAGGGTTATATATTAAGAAACTAGTGTGTAAGTGAATGATTCTTCAGGAAAGTATGCTAAAGAAAGTATCTGATTAGATGCAGATAACTAAATCATGGATTTTTGGAAACAGATTCTTTAAAATTTAGCTTAAGCTTATTTCCAGGGAGTCATTTCCAGAGTTGCAGTAAATCACATGTTTCAAAGTGAGTCAATTCTTCTTTGAAGGGTGCCTCTGAATCAGGTTACTGTCACATGGAAGGAGTCTGAATTCCATCTGGGGCAATTAAGTTTATCAGAGTCCAGATGAAGTTGATACTTTTAAATGATCCAGGACAGGTAGATACTTTAAAAATGATGTCCTTCTCTCTCCCTCTCTTACAACAAATAATGGGAATAATTATTTTTAAAAAACCATAAATATTAAAATAATTTCCCAACATCCTATCCTCCCTTTTCTTCCCCCAGCTTGTTCTTTGGAAATCTCTACATATATTTTGCCTGGCAAGGGAAAACTCAGATATCAGGTATGTTTTATCCACGTTGCTTTATTCAGATATGTTCAAAGCATAATAAGAGTTATACAGAAATACCCATTATTGCTTTATTCAAGCATTGTTCTCATGAACCCTGACACCTCAAGTTCTTGCAGATTTTAGCTTTTAGTAAGCCTTTTCCTTGGTTTATATTATTCATTATTATTGTTTTTAAGACAGAGTTTCACTCTTGTTACCCAGGCTGGAGTGCAATGGCGCTATCTTGGCTCACTGCAACCTCTGCCTCCTGGGTTCAAGCAATTCTCCTGCCTCAGCCTCCCAAGTGGCTAGGATTACAGGCCTGCACCACCACTCCCAGCTAATTTTGTATTTTTAGTAGAGACGGTTTTTCCACGTTGGTCAGGCTGGTCTCAAACTCCTGACCTCAGGTGATCCACCCTCCTCACCCTCCCAAAGTGCTGGTATTACAGGCCTGAGCCACCGCTCCCAGCTTGGTTTCTATTATTAAACTAGGATTATAGGTTATGACTATGCTTTAAGTGGCATCTCAGGGTCTAAGGGGAGGTTATGCTCTGCACAAGCGTACGAGAATACTGCGCACGAGTATATGGTTCTCAGAAGACTTCTGAATGCTCAGTTGTTTTCTCTGGACCCTTCTTTGATTAAAAGAAGGCGATTAAGCTCTTGTGCTGTTTTTCTTTGCTTATTCGTATTTCTCTAACTGAAAGACAAAGGTGAAGGTATCCTATATATCTCCTTTTCCTAAGTTTTTACTGATGCATTAAAGTAAAAATTTAACAAGAAAGTGTGTTGACAGTTATAAGCATCCCTTGTACCATGATACTAATTCTGGAATTGTTTGGTCAATACTATCTAGTTTCTTCTTTTTTCTCCTTAGAGAGTGACCGAAGAACAGTGTTTATTGCGCTGACGGTGATTAGCCTTGTGGGGACAGTTCTGTTCTTTCTCATTCGGAAACCAGATTCTGAAAATGTCCTAGGAGAAGATGAGTCTTCTGATGACCAGGACATGGAAGTCAACGAGTAAGATGTTGGGAACATTCCATTTTATTTTAAAATAGATTTTGAGTAGATCTAGTCTAGAGATTACCCACCTGTTTAGCCCTAACTGATATCCAGTACTCTCTGTAGGTTACCACAGGCAAGAAAAGGAAGAAAATAAAGGAGGAGCTGCGAGGGAGGAAGAAAAAAAGGTCACCAGAGGAAGGGAGGTGGTGAAAAGGTGCACAGGGAATTTTGAGTCTATTCCTGGCCTTGCCACTGATGTGTATGTGATCCTGGACAGTGGCAGCAATTCCTATCCTGTCTCCAGGCCTGAGCTTTCTCACTCAATCAGTATGTTTTCATGGGCAAGAAAATAGAAGGCAGTGTTGACCTTGGTTACTGTTTCTGTGATCCAGCTCTAAAGTTTTCCTGTTCTTGTGGTATAAGTGAGTGGCAGGGCCAGTGATGGTTGTCACAGATGAACCCTGGTTATCGCTAGGCTCTTGCTTATAGAGTCCGGCTCTTGCACTAACTTACATGGGTGGTTTTCCCTAGAGTAGTCCAAATGGGGGAATAAGTATACAACCCTGTGTTTTGTAAAAATTGTAAATTACTTAAGCACATTTCAGTTGCAGGTGACACTATTTAAGCATGACAGGCTAGTGATCTGCAGTATCATTTAGATTTGAGGAAGGAGAGATGAGAAATTAATCTCTGTCACCCTTGTTTTGCTTTGTGAATTGATAAATTGTTAAGATTGCCTTACAGCATTTTATCTGTTGTTAAAACTTTTGCATTGAGCGTCCCATGCTGACTTTGTAATCCAGAAAGGGCCTAAAATTGTCCAGTCATAGGAGCATTAGATGCTCCAGATTTGCAGTAAGTTTGCGTAAAGCAGAAGCAAGGCAGTGCTTTGGTCTGGATATGTTGCCATGCCCTGCCTTCTTACTCTTTACTGTGCTTCACAAACACTGGGTTTTTTTTACAAATTGAAGGCTTGTGGCAACCCCGCATCGAGCAAGTCTTTCTATCCGTGCCGCTTTTCCAACAGCGTGTGGTCCCTTACTTTGTGTCTCTCTGTTACATTTTGGTAACTCTCACAATACTTCAAACATTTCGTCGTTATGACATCTGTTATAATCTTATAACATCTGTTACAAGATGTGATCAGTAATCTTTGATGTTACTATTGCAATTGTTTTGGGGCACCACAATCTGGATCCATATAAGGTGATGAACTTAACTGATCACTGTTGTGTGTGTTCTGACTGTTCCACTGCAGGCCATTCCCCCATCTCCCTCCCTCTTCTCCTGAGACACAGAAATATTGAAATTAGACCAGTTAATGACCCTACAATAGCCTCTATGTGTTAAAGTGAAAGGAAGAGATGCATGTCTCTCACTTTATTTACTTATTTATTTATTTTGAGATGGAGTCTCACTCTGTCACCCAGGCTGGAGTGCAGTGGCACGATCTCGGCTCACTGCAACCTCTGCCACCCGGGTTCATGCAATTCTCCTTCCTCAGCCTGCCAAGTAGCTGGGATTACAGGCATGCACCACCACACCCAGCTAATGACTAATAAAGAAATGACTAAGCTTAGCAAGGAAGACATGAAGAAGGCTGAGACAGGCTGAAAGCTATGCCTCTTGTACCAAACAGCCAAGTTCTGAATGCAAAGGAAAAGTTTTTGAAGGGGCTCAAAAGAGCTATGCCAGGGAACACACTCATGATAAGAAAGTGAAACAGGCCGGGCGCGGTGGCTCAAGCCTGTAATCCCAGCACTTTGGGAGGCCGAGACGGGCGGATCACAAGGTCAGGAGATCGAGACCATCCTGGCTAACACGGTGAAACCCCGTCTCTACTAAAAAATACAAAAAACTAGCCGGGCGAGATGGCGAGCGCCTGTAGTCCCAGCTACTCGGGAGGCTGAGGCAGGAGAATGGCGTAAACTCAGGAGGCGGAGCTTGCAGTGAGCTGAGATCCGGCCACTGCACTCCAGCCTGGGCGACAGAGCGAGACTCCGTCTCAAAAAAAAAAAAAAAGAAAGTGAAACAGCCTTGTTGCTGATACGGGGAAAGTTTTAGTGGTCTGGATAGAAGATCAAACCAGCCACAACATTCTCTGAAGCCTAATCCAGAGCAAGGCCCTCTCTTCAATTCTGTGAAGGCTGAGAGACGTGAGGAATCTTTAGAGGAAAAATGTGAAGCTAGCAGAGATTGGTTCGTGAGGATCAAGGAAAGAAAACATCTCCGTAACATCAAAGTGCAAAAGGTGAAACAGCAAGTGCTGATGGAGAAGCTGCAGCAAGTTATCCAGAAGATCTGATTATTATAATTGACAAAGGTAGCTGCACTGAACAACAGGTTTTCGATGTAGACCAAACAGTCTTACATTAGAAGATGCCATCTAGGAATTTTATAGCTAGAGAGAAGTTAATGCCTGGCTTTAAACCTTCAAAGAACAGGCCGACTCTTGTTATTGGCTAACACAGCTAATGACTTGAAGTGGAAGCCAGTGCTCATTTACCATTCCAGAAACCCTGTGGCCCTCAAGAATCATGCTAAATCTACTCTGCCTGGGCCCTAGAAATGGAATGACAAAGCCTGGATGATAGCACATTTGTTTACGGCATGGCTCATTGACTATTTTAAGCCCACTGTTGAGACCTACTGCTCAGAAGAGAAGATTCCTCTCAAAATATCACTGCTTATTGACGATGTACCTGATCAGCCAAGTGCTTTGTTGGAGGTGTACAAACAGATGAATGTTGTTTTCATGCCTTCTAACAACATTTGTTCTGCAGCCCCTGGATCAAGGAGTAATTTCAGCTTTTGCTTTTTTGAGACAAAGTCTTGCTCTGTCACCCAGGCTGTAGTGCAGTGGCGGGATCTCGGCTCACTGCAACCTCTGCCTCCCAGGTTCAAGAGAGTCTTCTGCCTCAGCTTCCTCAGTAACTGGGATTACAGGCGTGTGCCACCATGCCTGGCTAATTTCAACTTTCAAGTCTTATTATTTAAGAATTACATTTCTTGAGGATATAGCTGCCATAGATAATGATTCTTCAGATCTAAGCAAAGTAAATTGTAAACCTTTTGAGAAGGAGTCATCATTCTGGGTAGGTCACATTAAGAACATCTGTGCCTGGGGCTGGGTACAGTCGCTCACGCCTGTAATTCGAGCACTTTGGGAGGCCGAAGCAGGTGGATTGTTTGGGCTTAGGAGTTTGAGACCAGACTGGGCAACATGGTGAAACTTTTTTTTTTTTTTTTTTTGAGATGGAGTCTCACTTTGTCTTCCAGACTGGAGTGCAGTGGTGTGGTCTTGGCTCACTGCAACCTCTGCCTCCCAGGTTCAAGCGTTTCTCCCGCCTCAGCCTCCCGAGTAGCTGGGACTACAGGCGCATGCCACCACACCTGGCTAATTTTTGTATTTTTAGTAGAGATGGGG